CCTAATTATCACAGACTGGACATGCACCACATATACATATTAGTACAGTGGTCCTAGTTCCTTATGTTGACCAATTTATTAAAGTCCTGTGGTGGTCAACTTACAGAGGTTATACTGTATTATTTTCCCTTTCTTTAATCACAGTTTCTTCACTAAAAGTTATATGTTATAGAGTAAAATTGCCTCAATTCATATACCTCTCATGTAGTATCTGAATTATTTCAGTGACTTTCTAATTGTTCTTCTTTCCTTTAGTTTCCATTTGGTTCTTCATTCCATCTCCCACCATACCATGTTCTCTAGTTTATTCTTCTGCCTTGTTCTTTAGTCTGTTTTCCATGGTGTTTCTAAAATTCTAAATTATCATATGTGATAATTCATTAAAGGAGTTTTATGATCACTTATTAAGCTCTTTCAAGGATGGCTTATCAGACATAGACTTAAACCCAGACTGGTTATAAGCCTCACTTTCTATTATACATTCTTTCCTTTAGCAATTATTTGTTGCTGTTTATTGAGAGCCTGCTATGTGTCAGGTACTACTATAGACATTGGGGATAACAGCAGTGAACAAGGTGAGGTTCCTATTCTCAAGGAGTTTGCATTCTAGTTGAAGGGAAGGGTGGTATCAGGTAGTGAGGAATGAGCAAATAAACATATATGCCTGGCAGTGATAAGTACAGTGTAGAAAATATATGAGTCGGGATGGACACTTTATCTAGAGTGGTCAGCACAAGTCTCTTAATACAGTGACATTTGAGTAGAGATGTGATTGAAATGAGGGAGGGAGCCATATGGAAATATAGGACTTCCTGTGTGGTTTTGTTTGCTGGACTATTTTCAGTTTGTAAATATATGCATTATCTTACCTTCACTTTTATTGTTCCTTCTGCCTACAATGTCCTCCCTGCCTCAACTTACCTCTCATTAGTCTCTTTCTTATCTTTTAAGTCTCAATTCAAATGGAATTTTCTATATGAAACTTTTCTGTGAGGCATCATATATTTCTTCCTCTGTAATGTAATAGGTTACTATGATCACTATATCTTGCCTTATATACCCTTAGTAATTTACTTGCTAGGATGATGATAATATTAGTTTCCAGGCTTGGCGCCTGTGGCTCAAGTGGCCCACAGCACAGTGGTAATAGCAGCAGCCATATACACCGAGGGTGTTAGGTTCAATACTTGCCTGGGCCAGCTAAACAACAATGATGACTGCAACAAAAAATAGCTGGGCTTTGTGGCAGGTACCTTTAGTCCCAGCTACTCGGGAGGCTGAGGCAAGAGAATCACTTGAGCCCAAGAGTTTGAGGTTGTTGTGACACAGTGGCACTCTACTGAGGGTGGCACAGTGAGACTGTCTCAAAAAAAAAAAAAAATGAATTTCCTACAGAGCTTGAAGTGTTCTTTGAAGCACTCCAAGTATTTATTTTTTCCTTTTTTGTTTAATGTTTGGTTCTATTAGAAGACATTTAAACATTTGTAGAAAGAATACAGTATTTGGAATTGGATAGAAAAGATTTCTAATCTTCATTCTTCTAAGAGAAGTCATCCTTCTGAACCTTATTTACCTTTTCTGTGCAGAATGAACAGTAATTCTTTATTTGATACTATATTGAGATTTAAATAATAGGAAGGTTATAATGAGGCAACTAATACATAAAACACTGAGAGCACAGTTTTACATGTAGAAGACTAGGTGCTCAAAAAATAGTTGCAGTTATTGTATACCTCAGTTATATGCATATGAGAAATAATTCATAATCTTTTGGAAAAGCACATTTCCCTATTTTGCTTTCCTGAGCCCATGGATACCTCTATCCATTGAAGAAAAGGACCTGCCCCTACGTTATGTGTTTATTTGACAAATATTGAGAGCCTACTATATGCCATGCACTTATATTAGTTGCAGAGGATAGAGTAGTATACAAAAAAGACAAATATTACTATCCTGATTAAGTTTATGTTCTAAGAAGGGAAACAGACTTGAGTAGCTCAATCCATTACTATGAAATTCTGGGTGATTTTTGTCACATCTTTATATTGCATAATAAATGTGTTCTCATGTTTATTTTTAGTATCACAAGCTAAATAGCCTCTCAAAGCACTACCACTGTCTCTGTGACTTTCTACTTTGATTCTTCTATCAGTTGTTCACTGTGCCAAGGGGTTAGGACCTCATTAACCTCAGTGGTAATGGGGAGGTAATAGCATTTTCTTTTTTCTTTTTGTTTTTTGAAACAGAGTCTCAAGCTGTTGCCCTGGGTAGAGTGCAGTGGCATCACAGCTCACAGCAACCTCAAACACTTGGGCTTAAGTGATTCTCTTGCCTCAGCCTCCCAAGTAGCTGGGACTATAGGTGCCTGCTACAATGCCTGGCTATTTTTTGTTGCAGTTGTCATTGTTGTTTAGCTGGCCCCAGACTGGGTTTGAACCCACAAAC